TTGTTGCTTCGATCTGTTGTCTTTGGTGCGTCACCTTCCTGGCCAGCGTCTTTCACTCCATGACTCTGGTCACGAGTTTCTGTGTTGCTATTGTCCCCTTCAACGTTGAGGTTGATAGATCTCCCATTCCCAGCGGGAGCGTTGTCTCCAGTCTGATCCTTCTGTTCGTCATTGGCTATCTATTCTTCTTTCTTTTCCACAGACGGCGCCAAATTTAGTGGGAAATTTTCCGACCACACTGCCAACTCAGTAATTTAGCTAGAGAGCAATGGCAGAATAGATAGCACCTGACTGACCTGCAACAGAAATATAAGAATCCCGCGGTGGTTCGTCCACCCACTTCTGCAACAAAGCGAGAGTTAGTATATCTCTCAAAGATAATCAAGTGCTAAACTCATAAGTTTGGGCATAAAACTGCGTACCTTAGACCCACGGGGTGCCTCTTTTTTATAGTTTACTCAATCCTAGTCCCACTAGAAGCTTGACTTCTATGGACTCCAATTCAGTATTTACTTTGGACTCCTCAAGAGATAAAGATAAACTCCCTAAGAGTTTTATCCTTATCTTGGCTAAGTCTCCTCTTTGCTCTAGGACTCTTGTCCCTTATCTTTTATCCATTTATTTCGGATTTCGATATCTTCGGAGATAACCTCGGCCTTGCCAAGACAACCTCGGCACCACAACCAGGACACGTGGCACCTCGGCTGACACGTCGGCGTCACCTTGCCACGTGTTGGCATTCAGAAAATACATCTCCACAGAAAGCGTGGTTACAAACCACGCGTTTAAGAAAATTTGATTTGTGTAGAAAGCGTGATTAGGAACCACTATTTTAAATAAAATTTGTATTTTCAAAGAACGTGGTTCGTAACCACGTTTTTACTATTGACTAAGATAAAGCGTGGTTACCATCGACGCTTTTGTATTGCCGCCCACCCTTTTGTATTCCTACCACTGGACATAATTTGTACGCGGTAACCACTTACTCTCTCTTATTTTGGAATTTTTTTTTTATTTTAAATATATATACATAAGAAACCTCAAATTTCCCCTTTCTACAACTTTACCACCTCCCAACCTGAAAATACCTACACAACACTATAGGAAAATGATGTCCCAATTTGTAATTTCACACACCGTCAATTTACCAACTTTGCCCACTAACGTCCATGTTCAGGTCGCGATGTATATGCCCTCTGTCGTCAATTTCTCTATAATGGGATCTTTCAGTCTACAAAAAAATATTTAAGACCAAACAGTTTACAAGTTCATAAATTAAGATTTATTGGTGCATCACCCTAAAATATTTATAATAAAAATTACATATTTAAAATAAAAAAAATAATTTTTTTAATATTTAAAAATATATTTAAAATATTAAAAAAATACAACACATAAATATTTATTTATTTTATTCAATTTCTTTAAACGCGTGATTTGTAATTACGTTTTCTTAATTAAAAGCGTAATTTGTAACAACGTTTTTATAATTTTAAATAAAAACATAATTTGTAATAACGTTTTAGCTTATTTTAAAAATTCTATTCAAATTAAGCTTTGAGAAATAAATTATTATTTTAATTTATTTTGAGAAAATTCCCGATAAGCAACCCAATTGCACCAAACGGTCCCATCAAAATGGGTCCATGCAGTGATCAATCCGTACGATTATGACACGTTTAATCACATCATTTTGTTACGAGTTAAATTAAGAATTTCAAATAATCAATTAAATTTTATATCAAATTTTCTATAGGCATGGTTTGAGAAGTAAATTTAAAATTAAAATAGTTACAAAATATAAAATAATATTTTTAGTCATAATAAGATAAAATATCACATTTAATTCATAATTATTATATTCTTTTTATTTACTAAATAAACTAAAAACAATCAAAAAAAAATTAAAAACCTTCCATAAATCAAACATTTTAACTCTAAATTAAAAAATTTAGAAAGTCAACTCACCTGTCAAACTAAGCCATATAATTCATATGAATTTATGTCTCATTACCATATAAAAAATTTGATAATAAATTTAATACATTATTTGGGTGCATGACCTTTCCTTTTGCTATCTCCTCCAACTCTCCTCCAAACCTCTTGGCACCAAAACCAGAACGCACTTTTCACCCTAACCCACTTCACCACCCATTTTCTCTCTCTCTCTCTCTCTCTCTCTCTCTCACACACACACACACACAAACTCCTCAAAGATATCAAGCATTCAAAGTTTCAGACCAGGTATGCATGCTCTCTCTCTCTTCAATGGTATGTTTTTTTATATTAAATTCATTAGCATACACACACACACACATATATATACATATAGGTCTGTATATGTGGAAATAATATATGTGTATTTATGGTATTTGTTTAGGGTTTCTTAATGCCTGTGAAATTCGACAACATAGACCTCAATTCCGACGTCGTTCAACAGAACGACGAGGTCAACAAATCTGAATCAACGGTTAGAGCCGCCGTTTCAGCTGCCCAAACCCTAACGGACTGTCCGTTGGGTTTGGTTAAGGGTTTAGGGTATGTAGATAGAGTGATCAATACGGAGGCAGAAATGAGAGATTTAGATAGAGATAATGATGCGAAAATGGATGTTACGTCGGGCCAAGGTGAAATTGAGGTAGATGATGATAAGGTTGGTTCGGATTTGAAGGGTGATGTTCCGAATAGTGATGTATGTGGTGGGGATTCATTGTGTTCTGATAAAAATGAAGCTGTTGAGAAGAATTTTAGTGCATTTTCGGGGGAATCAATTGTAGATAGAAGTGGAGAGGGTAGTTCTGCTATAGACGAGGTAGGAGGGAAAGTTTATAAAGTAGTGGTATCGCATTGCGGAGGGGGAGGAGAGGATCGGAGTGCTGGTTTGCAGCCTGTTGAGGAGAAATTGAGCATGGGAACTGATGTTGCAGTGAATTTGGACCTAGCTTCTGGGTCTTTGCTTGATGATTGTATACCTGATTATTCTATGTGTTCAGAATCGGCTGGTCAGCAACTTGATGGAAGTTCGCAGTTGATAATGGAAGATGGGGACTTGAAGTCTGGTAGCGGGATAGACAATGAGGGAATTGAGGTTAAAGGTGACATGGGTATGCTGGCTCATTTATCGGATGATAAAGTTCCTCATGTTAATGCTTATGGGTCTTCGCTTGATGAGTGTAAACCTGATTCTTTTATGGGTTCAGAATGGGTTGGTCAACAAGTGGCTGGAAGTTTGCATTTGATAACAGCAGATGGGGATTTGAAATCTGGTAGCGGGATAGACAGTGAAGGAACTGAGGTTAAAGGTGACATGGGTTTATTGCCTTGTTCATCGGATACAGCTCCCCATATTAATGGGTTTGGTTCAAATGGAAACCAAGGTGTAGTAATTACAGTACAGATGGAGGATATTCAACAGCCACAAGACATCGAGAAGAAAATTGTTAAACAGGCAGCTTTGAAACTGGAGTCTCAAGTGAAAGAGTGCTGGACTGAAAAAGGTGAATTTCATGCGTCTGATCTGGTATGGGGTAAAGTAAGGAGCCATCCGTGGTGGCCTGGGCAGATCTTTGATCCTTATGATGCATCAGAAAAGGCAAGGAAATATTGCAAGAAGGATGGGTTTTTGATAGCATATTTCGGGGACCAGACATTTGCTTGGAACGAAGCATCACGGATAAAGCCATTTGAAACACATTTCTCTCGAATGGTGAAGCAGAGCAATTCGGAAGCTTTTTGTCATGCTGTGGATTGTGCTTTGGAAGAGGTTTCGAGACGGGTGGAGTTTGGGCTTGCTTGTTCATGTTTGCCAGAGGAGGTATATGATAGGATCAAAACGCAAATTATTGTTAATGCTGGTATTCGTGAAGAATCAAGTAGAAGAGATGGCAGGGATGAATATTCAAGCATGGATTCCTTTATGCATGTGAACCTTGTCCAATATTTGAAAGCTTTAGCACAATCTCCATATGGTGGAACTCACAGATTGGAATTTGTCATAGCACAAGCCCAGTTGTTGGCCTTCAATCGTTGGAAGGGTTTTGAACAGCTGCCTGAGTTCAAAATGCTTGGTGGGTTGTTGGAGGATGGTGCTGACATTCCTGTAACAGGGGAGGAGAAGTATTCTGAGGTAGTGACTGAGGATGCAATTCGTGTTCCCATGGGCAATGAGCAAGTTCCGTTGGGAAAAGGAAAGTTGGTTATTCAAGATACTCCTTGTTGGAAGCGTAAGGAAATCTCTGGTGATGGTGTGACTCTGCCGAAAAAAAAAGAGAGACGCGTGTCTGACTTGATGTCTAGGAGCCACTCACACGGTACAAAATAGAACATAACATAACATATATATGGACTCAAGAGGTGGCTCGTACAAATTCTAGAGGTGGCCCCCACAATAGTATAGCACTTAGCTCCGCACAACGCTTTGTTTCATACCAGAAGTCAGAGGGTCAGTGAATTGATGACAACAGAGGGTCACATAAAGTGACAATTTAGAGGACCAATGGATATTAAAGTCTTCCAAGGCATAGGATCCTGTGGTGGTACTTACAAAATAATTGTGCAAAACACATTTAATAACACAGTTATATCTATGAATTTTCCTTTTAAAGCAAATAGGGTAAAAACTAATACAAGTTGCAAAACATATTTTACATTAAACAGTTTATAGTATCTCAAAATATAACACAACTCATCCCAAACTTGATAATTTACTCTCACTTCTAACTTTGATTTACTCTCTCAGACTCTATCTGTTTTTTTTTTATTATTGTGATTTCACTACAATGCAACTCACCTATTTATAGGTAAGAAAATCCTTACTATGCAGCACTGTGCAACACACCATGTAGAGAAACCACATGGCTCGTGCTTCCCATGAGGTTTATTGAAGCACTATGCACAAGTTCTCTATATTCTACCATGGCCCAAAAAAATGTTATAATTGCATTTTTTTTTGGGGGGGATGTCACATATTACGTAAGAAAAATAATTGAAAATGTAAATAAAAATTTGGGTAAATTATACTGACACCTCATGAGATTTATATTTAATACAGATCTCCCCTTACATTTGAAAAATTACACTCACCCCTTGTCAAATTAAAATGGCATATTTCTCCCTTAGCCTTTATACATATAAAATAATAAAATAATATTGATATTTTGTTCATATCATTTCAAGAGAAATAACAATCATCTTCTTTAATTTAACTCATACAAAAAATTGAGTTTTTTTTTTTTTGTGTTTTTTTTACTAAATTTTTTAATATTTTAAGTAATTTTTTTTAGATATACATAATCTAGATATATTTAAGAAATATAATATTTTTTGATAATTCACCAAATACCCAACAAAAAAAATTTTTAGTAATATTGTAATAAATGTTAATGACGATGTTTGGTAGTACTGTAATAAATGTGTATGAATAGACGAGAAAGAAAAATTATAGTGGAAATAAAAATGAAAAATTATATTCATATATAAAAATTTATACAAAAAATATCATAAAAATATTGTGATAGTGATGTTATTGTAAATATAAATCATATTTATGATGTATTTTGTTTTAAAGTGAAAGGTCACCATTAAAACATATCATTGTGTTTGAGAATTTTATATAAAATTTATGTTTGTATATCATCAATTAATAAGAATATATTCAAATAAAAATTAATAATAGAAAATTATAGAATGTAGTTATGATGATAAGGAAATAAATGGTAGGAAAAAAGACAAAATAATCATTTAGAAAATTTTAGGACATAACATCAGCAATTTAGGAGATAATTTATAATAAGGTTACAAATCTCAAGGACGATAATGTAATTTTTCAAACGTGAGGGAGAATATCTATTAAATAGAAACGTTAGGGGGTGTTAGGGTAATTTATCTTAAAATTTTATAACACATGATGTCGTTTATTACAGAAATAGTTATGATCGTTTGATAAGCAAGGGGCTTTTCCCAAAATAAGCTAAAATAGCAACTTATTTTTCAAACTAGGTCTAGTTTGGACAGAATTTCCAAAATAAGCTAAAACATTATTATAAACCATGTTTTTACCATTTTTGTGGCCTAGCCGCGAAAAGTTGATAAAATCGTAAAAGCGCGATTACAAACTACGCTTTTAATTAAGAAAGCGTAGTTACAAACCACGCATTTAAGAAAATTTGATTTGTAAGCGTGGTTAGAAATTACTCTTTTAAATGAAATTTATATTTTTAAAAAACGTAGTTCGTAACCACGTTTTTACTGTTGACTAAGATAATGTGTGGTTACCCTCCACGCTTTTGTATTGCCGTCCACCCTTTTGTATTCCTACTACTGGACATAATTTGTACGAGGTAACCACTCACTCTCTCTTATTTTGGAAAACTATTTTTTTGATTTTAAATATATAATTTTTTTTTAAATATTTTATTTTATTTTATAAATATTTTAATTTTTTTTAATTTTAATATTTTAAACTCAAAACACATTTCCATACTCATATCATAACTAAACCCATAACTTAAAACTCAATTAAAAAATTATGTTTAAACCTCATAACCAAATACATAACTCGAAACTCCACACTACTTTCAAAACTTTACACTCAAAAAAAATTAAAATATTTAAAAATATATTTATAAAATAAAATAAAATATTTATAATAAAAATTATATATTTAAAATAAAAATAATAATTTTTTTAATATTTAAAAATATATTTAAAATATTAAAAAAATACAACACATAAATATTTATTTATTTTATTCAATTTCTTAAAATGCGTGATTTGTAACTATACTTTCTTAATTAAAAGCGTGATTTGTAACAACGTTTTTATAATTTTAGATAAAAATGTGATTTGTAATAACGTTTTACTTTATTTTAAAAATTCTATTCAAATTAAGCCTAATTTGAGAAATAAATTATTATCTTAACTTATTTTGAGAAAATCCCCCGATAAGCAACCCAATTGCACCAAACGGTCCCATCAAAATGGGTCCATGTAGTGATCAATCCGTACGATTATGACACGTTTAATCACATCATTTTGTTACGAGTTAAATTAAGAATCTCAAATAATCAATTAAATTTAAAAAAATATTTGAGACCCACAAAAAGTGTGATTTAAATGACTCAAAATTATCAAAACGATGTCATTTTGCGTCGTTTTACGCCCAAAACAACGTCGTTTTGACAGTTTTAAGTCATTTAAGCCACACTTTTTGTGACCATCTACCATTACTCTTAAATTTTATATCAAATTTTCTATAGGCATGGTTTGAGAAGTAAATTTAAAACTAAAATAGTTATAAAATATAAAATAAGATTTTTAATCATAATAAAATGAAATATTATATCTAACTCATAATTATTATATATTTTTTTTCACAAAACAAATTAAAAAAAGTCACAAAAATTAAAAATCTTTCTTAAATCAAACATTTTAACTCTAAATTAAAAAAAAGAATAATGTTTTAGAGCACTAAATTGGGAGCTCTAGAGCATCACTAATAATGTGGCAAGTCTCCACCAAATTGATGTGATATTTTGGCTTGAGTTTGTTTTTTTTTTCTTCTTTTAAGCTCATTAAAATTATTAGTGGTCCAAAAATTAATAGGATGAATCACCCCTCTTAAAAAAATTAGAAAGTCAACTCACCTGTCAAACTCAGCCATATAATTCATATGAATTTATGTCTCGTTACCATATAAAAAATTTGAATTATATGAATTTATGTCTCGTTACCATATAAAAAATTTGATAATAAATTTAATACATTATTTGGGTGCATGACCTTTTCCTTTTGCTATCTCCTCCAACTCTCCTCCAAACCTCTTGGCACCAAAACCAGAACGCACTTTTCACCCTAGCCTAACCCTCTTCACCACCCATTTTCTCTCTCTCTCTCTCTCTCTCTCACACACACACAAACTCCTCAAAGATATCAAGCATTCAAAGCTTCAGACCAGGTATGCATGCTCTCTCTCTCTTCAATGGTATGTTTTTTTTATATTAAATTCATTAGCATACATACACACACACATATATATACATATAGGTCTGTATATGTGGAAATAATATATGTGTATTTATGGTATTTGTTTAGGGTTTCTTAATGCCTGTGAAATTCGACAACATAGACCTCAACTCCGACGTCGTTCAACAGAACGACGAGGTCAACAAATCTGAATCAACGGTTAGAGCCGCCGTTTCAGCTGCCCAAACCCTAACGGACTGCCCGTTGGGTTTGGTTAAGGGTTTAGGGTATGTAGATAGAGTGATCAGTACGGAGGCAGAAATGAGAGATTTAGATAGAGATAATGATGCGAAAATGGATGTTACGTCGGGCCAAGGTGAAATTGAGGTAGATGATGATAAGGTTGGTTCGGATTTGAAGGGTGATGTTCCGAATAGTGATGTATGTGGTGGGGATTCATTGTGTTCTGATAAAAATGAAGCTGTTGAGAAGAATTTTAGTGCATTTTCGGGGGAATCAATTGTAGATAGAAGTGGAGAGGGTAGTTCTGCTATAGACGAGGTAGGAGGGAAAGTTTATAAAGTAGTGGTATCGCATTGCGGAGGGGGAGGAGAGGATCGGAGTGCTGGTTTGCAGCCTGTTGAGGAGAAATTGAGCATGGGAACTGATGTTGCAGTGAATTTGGACCTAGCTTCTGGGTCTTTGCTTGATGATTGTATACCTGATTATTCTATGTGTTCAGAATCGGCTGGTCAGCAACTTGATGGAAGTTCGCAGTTGATAATGGAAGATGGGGACTTGAAGTCTGGTAGCGGGATAGACAATGAGGGAATTGAGGTTAAAGGTGACATGGGTATGCTGGCTCATTTATCGGATGATAAAGTTCCTCATGTTAATGCTTATGGGTCTTCGCTTGATGAGTGTAAACCTGATTCTTTTATGGGTTCAGAATGGGTTGGTCAACAAGTGGCTGGAAGTTTGCATTTGATAACAGCAGATGGGGATTTGAAATCTGGTAGCAGGATAGACAGTGAAGGAACCGAGGTTAAAGGTGACATGGGTTTATTGCCTTGTTCATCGGATACAGCTCCCCATATTAATGGGTTTGGTTCAAATGGAAACCAAGGTGTAGTAATTACAGCACAGATGGAGGATATTCAACAGCCACAAGACATCGAGAAGAAAATTGTTAAACAGGCAGCTTTGAAACTGGAGTCTCAAGTGAAAGAGTGCTGGACTGAAAAAGGTGAATTTCATGCGTCTGATCTGGTATGGGGTAAAGTAAGGAGCCATCCGTGGTGGCCTGGGCAGATCTTTGATCCTTATGATGCATCAGAAAAGGCAAGGAAATATTGCAAGAAGGATGGGTTTTTGATAGCATATTTCGGGGACCAGACATTTGCTTGGAACGAAGCATCACGGATAAAGCCATTTGAAACACATTTCTCTCGAATGGTGAAGCAGAGCAATTCGGAAGCTTTTTGTCATGCTGTGGATTGTGCTTTGGAAGAGGTTTCGAGACGGGTGGAGTTTGGGCTTGCTTGTTCATGTTTGCCAGAGGAGGTATATGATAGGATCAAAACGCAAATTATTGTTAATGCTGGTATTCGTGAAGAATCAAGTAGAAGAGATGGCAGGGATGAATATTCAAGCATGGATTCCTTTATGCATGTGAACCTTGCCCAATATTTGAAAGCTTTAGCACAATCTCCATATGGTGGAACTCACAGATTGGAATTTGTCATAGCACAAGCCCAGTTGTTGGCCTTCAATCGTTGGAAGGGTTTTGAACAGCTGCCTGAGTTCAAAATGCTTGGTGGGTTGTTGGAGGATGGTGCTGACATTCCTGTAACAGGGGAGGAAAAGTATTCTGAGGTAGTGACTGAGGATGCAATTCGTGTTCCCATGGGCAATGAGCAAGTTCCGTTGGGAAAAGGAAAGTTGGTTATTCAAGATACTCCTTATTGGAAGCGTAAGGAAATCTCTGGTGATGGTGTGACTCTGCCGAAAAAAAAAGAGAGACGCGTGTCTGACTTGATGTCTAGGAGCCACTCAAAATTTTCAAAAGGCGATACTGAATCCGAGGGGAAAGCTGGCAGGAAGTTGACTTCTTTGTCTTCTATTAAGAAACGTAAGGCTGGTGATTCAGAATCTGATGACTCAACGGTGAAAAATAGGAAAACTTCTCTGTCACCAATGACAAAAAAGCAGTTTTTTAGAGTTGGAGAAAGCATACGTAAGGTTGCATGCCAACTAGCTGTGTCAACTCCAATTCTCAAGGATAATTCTAAAAAAACTGTAGGTGAAAATGGAAGAAACAAAAGATCTTCCAGGACTAGTTCTGAGAAATCCAAAAGAAAAGAGGCCATTCAAGTGGAGTACCCTCCTCCGGATGAGATGCTCTCACAACTCTCTGTGTCTGCCAGAGATCCAATGAAAAACAACTTGTTGCTTTCTAGTGTAAGTTTTTTCTCCAATTTCAGGAATTCATTGTGCCTAGAGAATTCCATTTCACAAGAACACAAAAAATCAACCGAGAAAGTGTCTGGCAAGCATATTAGGAAAAAATTATCTAAATCGGAAACTACAGAAATGTCTGGGGTTGAGGTTATGGAAGACTCTTATTGGACTGACATGATTGTTCAAAGCAACACCGAAGAAGAGCAAGTACTATTTGAACCTGAGGTCCCAAACAAAACGAGTTCCCCCACTGTTGAACCAGAAGCAGCTCTTGAGTTAGGTATACAATTGGATTCTAAACATGAAACTGCTGTTGTGGGTTGTCAATTGGAGGGAAAATCAGCAGGTGACATGGATGAGAAATGCGAGGAAGAGGAGACTCCAACCACACTAATTCTGAACTTCACTGACTTGGAGTCTGTTCCTTCCGAATCAATTCTTAATGAGATATTCAGCCGCTATGGACCTTTAAATGAATCAGTCACCGAGGTCATGAAGAAGAGCAAACGTGCTAAAGTGGTCTTCAAGAGGCGTTCTGATGCTGAAACAGCTTTCAGCAGTACTGGAAAATTCAGCATTTTTGGGCCTTCACTAGTCAGTTACCGCCTTAATTACTCATCTTCTACACCGCGTAAAACTTCTACTTCTGCAACAAAGCGAGGCAGAAAGGGTGCAACATCTGTGGAATGAAATGCTGCTTGATAATTGATGCAGATCAATTTAGGTGTTCACATGACACATTGGTACTGCACTTCATTTCGATGTTCGTCTTTTTAGGAAACCCATTGCCCCCTTGGGTACATATTTGTTACTGGACAATTGCATGCAAATAGGTAGGATGGAGCATTCAACTTAGTTATCCATTTAGGCATCCTTAGAATCCTGACTCATCAATATTTTCTAACCATGTTTATTCATCTTGATTTCACTGTAAAGAAGAGTTTTGAGTTTTTTAGTTGTTTCTGTGCGTTTTGTAAATGTTTTTCTGCCTTGAGGATTTTATAGACCATTAGAGTGAGAACTTCAGAAGCTTGGATTGCTTTCTTTCTAAATGGTGTCCTATGATGAAATGTTTAGGTAGTCTGGTACAAAGTAGTTGGGCTGGAGATGGATTTATTTCAAATTTGGTACCTGCCTTGCAGTTGCTTGGTGAATGGAGTGCTTTACTAAGAAATAAGACCGGCGGAATATTTAGTTTCTTGATTAACGTTTCATTTATGACCAGACTGCTTTGTGACAATGAAATTCAGTGGCCTTTGATATAACTTGCCCTTGATGACTTGCCAGAAATTCTGACATAATTTGTTTGTTACAGTTTCACCTTTTATGGTAATTTACAGATTTCATTGCGGCTTTTATGACGGGGAATTATATTGAACAACTTTATATTCACACTCATCAACACTTAATGGCTGATTTGGAACCTCTTGATTCCTGTTTTTGCAGTGTGAGTTTGCTTATCCAGATTTGCCATCTCAAAATACCCCAAATATTTTGTCATTTTTTTATACACTATGTTCATTTATTTATACACTGCATTATGTCAAAAGCTGAGTAGCAGCTTATACATTGCAAAATCTCGCAATTGCTTATTTTTTAGTCACTCTGATTTTGTGTTCTGGGATAGTTGCTTGGGAAAGGAAACAAATCCTGATGAGTAGCATGCCTTGTGTTGGTACTTGGTTACTATTTGTTTGTTCTTCATCTTTCCAACCTGTCTTGTTTCTTGTTTTGTTCATCTTTGTGCTTGGAGGATTACGAAGGAGGAGCTGAGGGTTATCACTAATCAATAGCTTGTTGTTTCTTTCGGTAATAAAATCCTACTTACTAAAAAAAATTATATCAGATCTAAAAAGCCACAACAAGCTTCTTCTAACATGATCAAGTTATTTGAGTGGTATCCTGTTGTGTGGATATGCTGTGCATTAATTTGAGTTGGTTATTGTCCTCTTCTTGTAGCTAGAAATCATTTGGCTTCTACTGCTTGTTTTATGCTTTATTTGGAGTTGGTGCTATAAATAACTCTTTTAAGGCTCTATTTGGATCGCGTGGGGAGAAAGGAAAAGAAATGAATGATATTTATGAAATATTACCTGGCAGAAGCATTTGAGCATATCTTCTTGTCTTTCTTTTCTTTTTTTTTCTTCTTCTTTGAGTAGCTGCATTATTAAAGAGTTTGAAAGAAATCTGTTTTACTTTATTAGACAAAAGAGTGTAAATTTTGTTCCTTGTCTCATAATTAATCTTTGGGTATGCTTGGATCTTTGATGGGATTTTTTGTGGGTTATGGAAATTAGTAATACCATGGTATTATAAACAATATGGGATAAGAGGGGTAACAAATTTGAATTTATAACAATTTCATCATTTTGTGGTAAGTTGTTGATGGATTATGTCTTGCATAGACTTCAGATTGTGTTTGAATTTTGAATTTATAAAAATAATTTTTTTTTAAAAAATTTATACAAGATTTGTTGAATGCTTTTTCCTCGATGTGTGCATGGGTATATTCATAGTCTGGTTTTGTTGTGAATAATACACATTTGATTGATGCAGAATGGTGGTGATAAAGTTGTATGCATTTCTTTTTTTTTTTCTTATTCGCCCTCTTTCGCTTTAATATTTATTACAACCAAATATATGACTAAAATTTAAAATTTATAATGATGAAATTTTTAATGATACCCTTAACTTTTATTTTTTTTGGTAATATAATAAGCAAAGGTCTAAAATAACTTTTCCACAATAACTTTTTGGGCAAATTACATATACTTCTCTCGAGGTTTAGCTAAATTACAGATACCCTCTGAGGTTTCGGAAATTACAAATGCCCTCCTGAGACTTATATTTTCATAGCAATTTGTCCCCTAATTTGCTATGCAAATGTAACTTTCAGGAGGGTATCTGTAATTTCTCAAACTTTAGAAGAATATTTGTAATTTTGTTAAACCTGGAGGGGTATATGTAATTTGCCCTAACTTTTTTAGCAAAACAAAGATTTGACATTGCTTCAATTTGAGGGAAATGTGCACTTACGTACATTGCAAGTGTCATGCATCTAGTTTTAGCTGATGAAATGCAACCATTAAATCAGATTTAGATCAAGTTTGGCAACTCTTAAAAAATTTAAAAAGTCAAAAAGTCACTATCTTATTTAAATTACATCATCTTATTTAAGTCACATCACATCTCTAACACATCACTTCAAACCCAACTCATATTTCATAAAAAGTCAAAAAGTGCACTTATTTAGTCATCCCAAACTTAGCCTTATTTATATATTTTTCTTAACCTACGGTTTATTTTATTTTATTTTATTTTATTTTTTCAATTCATAAATTTTCATTAATAATAGTTCCGACTATTCAATGCCAGTGGCCCTCTTGTTATTTTCTCTCTCACGATAAAAATTCAAACTTTAATTTATTTCATAACATAAACAGTAGAGGACAGATATTACAACTACAACTTTGGATTAAAAGAGAGATTAAAAAAAGCAAAAGAAAAGATCTATTCACTTTATCAATAATTGAGTTGAATTAAATGTATCACAAGGAATATTGAATAAAAATATTTTTTGTATAAGATATTCAACCAAAAATTTATTGAAAAAAAGAGAGTAGATATTAAAATTTTAAAAAATATAAAATAATAAAGGCTCTATTTGGGAACAAAAGAAAAAAGTTGCGTTTTGCAGCTTGGGCTAAAAAAGTCAAAATGACTTTTTTGCCATCAAACCATTTGACAAGATAGGTAAAAGCTAACTGTGAAATTACAGTTATATCCTCCATGATGTTTAAATGAGACACATGGGTGAAAGTGGTTATATTTTTAAAATGGGTGAGGGCATTTGGTCATTTGATTATAATGTGACAGCATAAACATATATTAAGTCAAAAAGTCAAAAAATAGATTTTTACCAACTTCCCAAATGACTTTTTAAAAAAGCTTGATTAAAAGACAAAATCCAACTTTTAACTATTTTCTCAACACACCCTGAAATTATCTTAGCAAAGATTGTTTGGTTTGACTTTGGGAGATAAGTTTTTAAAAAATATTTTGGGAAGAAAATTTAGAAATTTTTGTAATTTGTTTAGTTGTATATTTTGAAAATAGTTTGGGAGTTTGAGAGTTTGGGATGATTTGATATTTTGTTGTAATTGAGTAGATGTATGTGAGAGAAAAAATGATTGAAAATGAGAGAGGAAAGAGAAAAAGTGATTGATTGATGTGTAGGAGAGAGAAAGTGATTTTGCAAATTTTTTGAAAAAAATTACAACCAAACAAATTTTCTAAAAATTTTCTCCAAAATCTATTTCCCAAAGCCAAACCAAGCAAGGCCTTAAATTTTAGTATCAAATTTTAGGATTTTTTACAGGCCGGTCCTACTTTTTATAGTTATTCCCTTATTAGTCCTGAATATTGATGATGTGCATCAATAGGTCCTGGAATCTTTTTGTGACAACCCTCACCACTGTTTACTGATAATACCACTGATTACTGCTAAACTGTGACTGAACATGATTAAGTAACTGATTTGACTGACATCCTGAACTGATTGACTGAGTGTATTAGTTTAAACGCATTTCTATCTATTTGACTGTTAATTGATTTGTTCATGTTTTAAGTTTGAATTATAAATTAAAGGCCTTATCGGCGGCCGAATCTGAAATTGATTAGTGTTTCATGTTAATTAGAATTTATGTGATTTTATGGTATGTTTAATTGAAATTTGATTTGGTATGATTAAATTGGATTAAATAGTGTTGAATTACATTAGTTGGCTTATCTACTATTTTGCCACTTAGTGGGTCACTACCTAAGGCAATGTTGAAGCTTTTTTATACTTGATCACACATCACTCTTCAGCCATATTGAGGCCATTTCGAGAGAGAGGGAGTGAGAATAAGGAGAATTGGTTTCAACTAGGAGATTACTTGGAGAATCGGAAGATTTGAAGGAACTTGCTATAATAATCTCAATCCACAATTAGCCACTAATCGGTAATTAATGATGTTAATTAAGTGAATAAAATAAATTATGGGTTCATTATGTGATTTGCATGATATTTGGCTTACTATCTGTTACTTGTAGAAATATCTGTCTGAAATTCCGCGTTAATATGTAAATTGAAAGCCTTATCGGCATCTGAAACCGAAATTGACTCCACCAATATGTTATTTGGAATTTTTAGAACCATATGGCAAATTTTATTAAAAAAATTGATTCAGTCTGATTAATTAAGTCATGTTTGGTTAGCCTAATATTCTAATTAATGTGTTTTAGCACCATAAGCTTATATGAGCCTAATAAGCTCATTTGAACTCATTTCTTTCACCTCCCTTGAGTGGAAAAAATCTGAGAATTCATTTTAGAGAGAGAGGGAGCACAATTCTAGAGAGAGAAAGAAAGAGATTGAAGGTTTTGTGATGAATTCACCAAGATTGTGCTAGAACAAGAGTAATTCAAGACTCTTGGTAAGCTTTTGACTATTAATTCAAAGAGTTATGTGTTGTAGAGATGAATTCATGGAGTTGTTAGGATCATTGCATGTAATTTACATATGTTGGCCAAGAAGATGGAAGATTTGAGTTGCAATTCATGCATGCATGTACATTTTCTTACAAATTGAGCATGATTTCCATGAATCCTCTCTTGCATGTTTGAAATTCACCTTCATTTAGGGAAATCATCAAGTTTCAAGTTGTGTTTGTGGTGTTTGATCATGTTTTGAGAAGTTTGATACAAGAAAAATTCATGCATGTTGTGTTCATGAACATTCATCATGTTTTAAGTTGAAATTGTGAGTTTTTAACAAACTCTTGGGCCATGATTTTATGAAATGATCTTAATTTCTTCATGTTTTACAAGTTTACTATGTTATCTCAAATTTTAGTGCCCAAGAGATGTGTTTTGAAGGTTGGAATTCGAGTTTTGAGCTTGAAGGTGTAATCTGAAAATTCCAGAATTTGCATCTACGCTCGAGCGTGGGAGTTCATGTTCGAGCGACCACTCTGAGTGCGTGCACTCTGCTCGAGCGACCAAAAGTCCGCTCGAGCGTGAATTGCAAGCTCCCAGAAGTTTCATGTCGTTTACAGATCGCTCGAGCGAAGGAATGTGCGCTCGAGCGACCATTCACATGTTGCATGTCCGCTCGAGTAAGGAAAGCTACGCTCGAGCGTGGACCTTATTTTCAGAAATTTCGCCTAAGTGTTCCAAGGCATGTTTTGACATCCTCATTGCATCTTACACATTCCTAAGCCTTAATTAAGCCATAGCAATGAGGTTATGGATTAGAAACACACTAAGACAAGAATGTATCAAGTTCCGAGACTGCAAGTGTATGTGTTTTAGGCAA